TGACACTACCCCTCAAGGGATCGGTTTTTTGACACACTATGTCTGATTGGTCACTTTTTCATTCAATCATTGGTAAGTTGTATTAATGAAAGTTATTTTTTATTTTATTTTAATGTTATCTTGTAAATTGGAAAGCCTTAATTGTGATAATAATTACGGATGGGGAAGGGGCAATATAGCTGGATGGAGATAGTAACCTTTGGGCTCCCATATTCTCAATCTATATTTCCCCCTCCCACCCCCATCATATGCGATTTCACTTCACGGCCGACGGGCGACGATACATTTGCTTCATCGCTCCAAGGCCGGCGAGATCCATCAGTTGCAGAGATGGATGATTATGTGGCCGAGTTGGATAGAGGAGGTTAGTTAATCCACAAGTCAACCGACAAACGTTTCTTGGGATTTGACCTCAGGCTAGATTATACCAACAATGACGATGATCAATTCAAACTTGGGCAATTCAGCAATGACGACTCTGACGAACGTCCTGATGATCTGGACGATGAGCTATACGTTGAGCATATGGAGAATGACGTCAACATTAATCATATGGCAAGTTCCGATTCCGCCTCTAACGTCGTGCATATGCCTGATGTCGACGCTGCCGCGAACGTGGAGCAGGTTGGAGTCCCGGAGGAACAACAGAAAAATCTCGGTCAGCATCCATACTCATGTGCATTCGACCTTTCAAATGAATGAGTACCACTGTAATGGTATTTTGCATCATTGAAGTGATAGTGTATCACATAGTTCTATCGCTCCATATGTTTTAGTACCACTGCATTGGTATTTCTCACCCTAATGACAATTTTGTTCTACACATAGGTGTTGGTTCTGACTATCATTACACTGGTAGTTGTTACTAGTTCACATAAACATCTTTTAAATATGCTAAATAATTTGTATTTTGTGTAGGAAAACAACCTTGGTCTACCATCGATGAACTAGAGCCGAAAGGGAAAACAGTGAAGAAGAGGATGAAACCTGCTGGGGAATACGCTGGAGAGAAAGCTAGAAAACAAATGCAAGATGAGATCAGACGTAAAAAAGGCTAAAAATTAGTAGGGGTGCATCTTTTTTCCTATGAGTTTGTACTTTTAAAGTTCAGGAATTTGTCGTTTGTACCTTTTTAAAGACACAACAAGTTTGGTTACCTTCTTTAAATCTCATGTAGTTATCTTTGTTCATGACTATTGTCATATAAATGTATTTGAAACCACAACGATCCTAATACAAAAGCACAATTTATATTGGTATATATACCACTGGACTGGTAGATGTAACACTGGTTTGGTAGATGTACCAATGGACTGGTACATGTATCAGTCAAGTTTTGTTACCTCCTTTCAAAGTAAGGAGTCAATTTCCCACACAGCTTTTTAAAGACACATTAATTTTGGTTACCTGATACTGTCATATAAATGTATTTCGCACAACTTCAATGGTCCTAATATGAAACCACAATCTGTACTGGTAGAAGTACCACTTTACTTGTAGAAATACCACTTCACCGGTACAAATTCCGACCGACTAACACTTGTACCACTGAACTAGTACACATAGCACTCAACAAGTACTCATACTAACTACAACATGCAAAATATAATTCTGGCACAAGCACCACCAATGTAAATATTCAATCAGATAATAAAATAGGGACTTCCCAATAATAGCACCAATAACCGTGTTTCATTGGGGTTCAAAATCAGGGAAAATGCCAACAAAATATAAATTATCCTCTGAATGCAAATAAACATAAAGTCATCATCCATGGTTAGGGATATTGTATCCACATCGAACTTGTTGACCAACCATTTCAAAAAGGGCTTATCGAACTTCTTCATTTGCAGCTAAAAAAATCACCCAAACCCAGCTTCTTCAATATGTCCCTTCTCTCATGTGACACTACACCCTTCAGGATTTTAATTATTGAGTTGGGGCTGCACTTTTTACCGAAGACATCATCAGTATGTTTCCTCTTCCCCCTATCCTTTTCTCCCTTCTCCCTTGTCCCACGACGGCGTTTTTTGCTGGTACCCGCACCGGAGGAAGGAGCATGACTTACCCCTACTTCCACCTGCCTTGAAACATAGGTTATAGGCTTCTTGAGCGTAGCCTTCTTTGTCCGCAGGCTTCTGCCCTGCTGGTTCCATAGGACCCGTTCTCTTTGTCCTTGCCATCCCTGATGCGGAAATTAGAAATTAAGTCAATGATATGAACTATCAATTTAGTGATACTAGTAGTGTGAACAGTCACTGCAAATGTAGAACAAAATGACTATCGCTGTAGTGATACTAATAGTGTTAACAGTCAATAAATTAAATCAATCAAATGCTAGTTCTAACAAAAAAAAAGTCATTTGAAACGAAACTATCACTGCTGTAGTATCCTTTATAAGACACAATGTTTAATTTATACCATTGCACTGATAGTTCTGCACATATAGCCATTTCAAACGAAACTATCATTGTTGTAGTACCTTTTGTGAGACACAATGTTTAATTTATACCATTGCACTGATAGTTCCACACATATAGACAAATCAAACGAAACTATCACTGCTGTAGTATCTTTTATGAGACACAATGTTTAATTTATACCAAAGCACTGATAGTTCCACACATATACACCTTTAAAACAAACTATAACTACAATGACACTTTTATTTTCCATATGAACATGTTATACCACTGCATTGATAAGCACAACTATCACTAGTATGGTAGATAAGGTATACATATTAAATTTTCACTATCACTCCATTGATACAAACAAAACTACCACTGTGATAGTACCACTTCCTAGACTTCATAACCAAGCATTTTTACACCAACATATTCAGTAAGATACCCACAACAGTGAGCAAACTGGCATACCACTGGATAGGACCACTTCCTAGGGTTGATAACCAATCTATGCCACACCAGTGATAGACATGCAAGAAAAATGAAATAAAAAAATGCTATCACCGCAATGGTATACTAAAAAGAAGGAGATGATTAAATTGCTGAATAGTGGTGGTACATGCAGAAAACCCTCACCGTAGTAAGATCCTTTCGCTGCCACAAAGGGTCGCTCAAAGCTCTTCCGCGGAAGGACGGTCGTCAACGGGAAAAGAACAAGGCAGGCGTTGATAAGAGCAAGTAGGTGAAAGGTGAGGGTTTGGGATGGAAAACGGAGGAGGGGTAACGGAAGGGATGATCGGAGCGATGTTGTAAGGGCGGCAGGATGAGAGATGTTGCGGCGGCGGATTGCAACTTCGGGGTGGGATGACCTTGATGCTACGACCTGGAGTTTTTATGGCGGAAGACGATTGTTTTGGTAGACAGGGGGTGGGGAGTTTCTGTTTTATTGAAAGGGAAAGAGGAGGAGACGAAACAGGGTGATACAATGGGTTATTGATTTCAAATTAAGCATGCGAACCGCTTTTCCCTAGGTTCCCGAATTTCTTTCCCTTTCCCATGTATATTGGGTTAATTACTTCATTAATTACCAATCAACAACTGCTAACTAATAACAACCATTCGATTAACATTAATGAGATGGACGGTAAACAGATGGGGTGTCGAAATTCAGACCCCTCCCCCCAAAGGGGTTGTCATGCTAACCGCTCCCTTGTCGGGAGCCATTTTGTCGCTAAAAGTTGAGAGAGAAATTTTAATCACCGAGCCGGTGAATATATGAAAACTTTATGTTAGTACGTGAAGTGTTATAGACAATAAAATAAACTTAGTAAGATACACTGAAAGATACTTACTTGAGTCGACAGTATAAAATTAATATTTCATATAGGATATGAAAACATATCACGGTTGTTTGTACAAGGTGAAACTTGTAATATACAGCTATTTCGTTTTCCATAATGAATTACACTGATATTAATTTTTTGAACCATATATTTTAAATATTTATTCATGGGTGTCTACTATATTATTATGGTATAACATACTTTGAATTTTTCTAATGAGATATCTTTATTTAGATAATGAATTAAATCAAGTTTAAGGTATGATATCATATCTTAGTCTAGTGGTAATACCTCTAACTTTGCCTCTAAATTCAAATTTCTCTTAACTAGTACCTGACCACAAAATGTAAAAACGTATATTACCCTTATAAGAAAATAATTAACAAATTTATTTATTGTAATTAATCATGATTCTTGCGAATTAAAATCTCAACACTAATTTTCATCCCCTCATAAAAAAAACATTCTACTAGTTAACTTAAACCCCTGCCATATTATTGGATATTATCCACACTTAGTATGACTGTATGAGCCATACATAACATACATATGAATAATGAAGTACCCAGCCACATTGCCATTACCGTCAACTTTTATTTCCTTTTAAGTTTTAATGCATGTGAAGTTGTGAATGTACATGGGCGCTGGGTCGTGTTTGGGCCGGGCCCGCTTCGGGCCCATTTATTTCGTGTCGTGCTTGGCACAGCCCGTCAGTTTTCGTGTCGTGCCATGGAAGCCCATTTGTCAACTTTGCTAGGCAAGGCCCAGACCCGGGCACGGTTCGAATCGTGCCGTGCTTATTCGTGCTCGTGCCATGCTCGTATTCGTGTTTAATGAAAAGGACGAAAACAAAAGAGAGAATGAAAAAGAAGGTGAAAATTGGACGGGGGAAGATAATATTAACCGATAATGTTTGAGAAAAGTAACAAATAGGGAGGAAAAGAAAATTGAAAGTATAGGGAGTGTGATTTGGCTTTGTTTAATTCTTTGTCCATTTTTACTTATGTTAGTAATTACGTATATATCTTTATGACACTTCTAACAACAACAAATAATTATTTTTCTACTTGTGTTTTGTAATATTTGAACCAATAATTCTTTTTATACATATTTTCTATCAAATAAATATTATTTTCGTGCCATGTCCGTTCTTATACTCAATAGTCTCGAAAATATTAGGCCCGACACGGCCCACTTATATACCGTGCCGTGCCCGTGCTCGTGCCCATGCCCGTGTTCGTGCCCGTGCCCATGAAGTTTAGGCCCGGCACGACCCATAAATTATTCGTGCTCGTGCGGGACTGACCCATTTATTTTGTGCTCGTGCCGTGCTAGCCTGTGGGCGGCACGGTCCGGTGCCCACGTATAGTTGTGAACATTTAAGGCCAAAGATAAAGTTGATAACCCAACAATGGAGCCCAAATTAAGCAAACAAAGGCCTACCAACCAATATCAGTAAATAGCCCATAACTGTTGCCTATGCAGGCTTCGAGCATCCCCGAATGGAGGTGGGTAGCTTAGCTAGGTACCGGCACCAGTGTCCTGAGTGAGTATTGACTTGACGAACTGCAAAACAGCAGATGCTAGCTCAGCTTGATGCAACTTGTATCCATGATCAGCCCCTTCCACGATGTGCAACTCGTGGTTTGGTATGATCTTCGCAAACTTGTACGCATCTCCAACCGGGATAACCTCGTCTGCAGATCCATGGATGGTCAGCACTCTGGCAGACACAGAGCGATTCACTGCCAAAATTAGTGATGTGCACAAACTAGAACTCAAATGAGAAGCTATCAAAGAGCAATGACAGAACCAAACAACGGTGCAGCGAGTTTCATTTTAACTCACCTGCAATCTTTGTCAATCTGCTGGCACGCTTTATGCATATTAATGTTCATTCGATCCATCAAATCTGCTTCAGTGACCCGAAACTTGACCTCTCCTGTACAATCCAAACAAGTTGTGGAAGATAAAAAAGCATTCAGCTTATACCAACTCATTTTCATTCCCTCCTTTGATTCAGTACAGAAAGAGTAACAAACTCACCTGCTCGATTCTTCACATCGATGAATCCTTCTCGCTTGATTCTTTCGAGAAAGTCTTCCCCAAGACGCTCCTTAATGCCCGATTTCAGGTCATACCGGCCTGAAGTATTTACGACTGCTCTTATGCTGTGGAACTTTGATGCATATAGAAGCACCACACCACCTCCTGCAGTTGCACATCACCATCCAACCACAATAGATGCAGCCTCGTTTCAGTACTTGGATTTGTGATTGATCATACACTGGAAGGAAGCAGAACAACAACTAAATGCTAAGCACCTCTGCTATGCCCAAGCATCACAGTGACAACTCGGTTTTCAGCAGCGAAGTGTTCAACTACAGAGCGCAAGTCATCAACTTCCTTCTTGTAGTTACCAAAAGCAAACGAGCCTTCACTTTCACTGTTTATTGGAAACCAGACATTCACACACGCACGCCAGGGGAAAGGTGAACTCTAAACTCTTGCTGGAAAATTTTGCTTACCCATTACCAGAAAAGTCAAAACGGAAGGCTGTGATTCCTTCCTTCTCCAATGTTGTAGCAAGATTTACCATGGCTCTATGATCCTGGAGGTCCGAAAGTATGAATCCAAATGCCTATTTATTACTTGCGGAAGTGATTGGTTTGCTACAAACTTACCTTTGAACATTGGAAGCCATGGCAGAGGATCACGATTTCCTTGGATCCAGAATCGTGCAGCACTCCCACCAGTTTCTCTCCATCCTTGTTTGGGATTATGACCCTCTGCTGCAGAACCACTAACCAAAACAGTAGACACAGAGAAAAGGTGAAGTGGAAAAACGAACGAGTCAATGTGTAAGCTAAGAGATCGCCTCTTCGCCAGTAACCAAATGAATTCGAACTACAATACCTGGGTTTTTGGTTGTTTGAGCCATTGTGGAAATAAACTCTTATCTTGCTCCTCCTTACTGCTGGGTATATCGTATATGAGATGGTGTAGCAGAAGGAGAGGAAGTCAAGGAAAGTGTTCTCTTTTTTTATAAAAAAAAAAAAACAAATAGGTTGGTCGCATCCGGCCTGCTGGAATTTGGAAAATGAAAATCATAATTCTATTAATTCATTGATCCCTCTGTTTTTCTTTCTCCGAAAAATGATTAGGCAATCGAATTTAGACATTTTTTTTTATCTCTATTCCAATCAAGAATTGGTTATGACAAAAAAACACACACGAGAACAATGTGTTACAAAACTTCATCTCGGTCCAATGAGCAATTACAAAACTTCATCTAATACAACAAGAAGGATGTATGAATAATGAATCCTCTTCACGTTTGTCTCAGAATTATTGCCAAAACATCACGTTCCAGAACTCAGAAGTGGTTAGCTTCAAGAATCAGAAGTCATTCGTGTATAAAAATATGCGGGGATAGCTACAAATCCATGCCGATACATGGTGATGAATTAGCTAAATTAATCAAGCTACAGTTGTCAGGACAAGAATACCACCACCAGAGCCACCACCAGTGCGTGATCTATCGATCCAGGAAATATGGTCAGCCGAAACTTGTTCCTTCTGGCGTGTATCTGGTGAAGCTTGTACATCAGGCTAGTCTGCATCAGATGCAACAACAATTCCCACGTTAAAGGTGAGGAACAAGGCTGACAAATGAAACAGGTTTCATCATCGATAGTTTGAAAGAAGAAACTAGCAGCATTCGGCTACCCACATCATGCTCTGAGTTCGCTAAACAGGTTTCATCATCATATAGGGTGTAATACACAAGGACTACAGAGTTCAACACTGAAAACGCTAAAGCTTGCAGACTCATAGACTCTGGGGTTAAGTTAAGTGGGAACAAAGGTTCATTGCCTCTTTTTTTTAACATCAATTCTCTCAAACACACTTGAACAAGATTCATGGACTAGTTGGTATGAAGAACGGGTGCAGATTGCACAAGGATAAGTCCCCAGAACTTTTCAAGTAATGCTGATAGGCAGAGTCATCTAATGAACTAAAGTTTGAGAGATCATTGATGATCTGATTATTACCTGGGCTACAATCGAATCGCCACTGTAGATGGTGCATGATCGTTGAAAGCAACATCCTTTCACCTTGAAGTCTGGTTTAGACTGATCTCCCGAATTTTGTCCAGTAAGGAACACCTCAAGCTCAGTTCTGCAAAGCGTACTCACGGTCCTTTTAACTCTGAATATCATATCTTTTTCTGCATCTTCACCTCCTTCAAATCCTTTCCACGACCTCTTCTACAACCAAGCAATAAACTGCATCACATAATTGTGTTTACTCTGCAGACAAAATACTTAAAACTCAAAAGCAAGAAAAGCTTTCAACCTGCTAACTCATGTACATTGTTTGGCTCCCAATTCCAGAGAAGAGCTCTAAGCTACGTTTTCAACAAGCTCAAAACTTTGTTCGCTTGAAGCAAGCAATGAAGTGTGAACTAAACAAAAACCTACAACTCTGAAGAGCAATTTGCCCAGAATCGAACAACTATGCAGACGAAATACTCAAAAGCAAGAAAACCTAAACTCATGTACATTGCTTGGCTCCCAATTTCAGAGAAGCTCTATGCTAAGTTTTCATCAAGCTCAAAACTTTGTCTAGCATTAATGCGGCAATCAAGTGTGAACTAACTAAGAAAACCCTGAAAACACTGATGGGCAATTTGCACAAATTTACCAACTAGCACAACAAATTAACAAGTTCACAAACAACTAACTCCATTGAAACGAAAGGCGCCATACAAACAACAGACGGGATCCCAAAAAGAACTCACATCCAGGCGGTGCAAGGAAATCAAGTGACTACCAGAAGAATCGAGCAGAAGCTTCTTGCGGGATGCCGATGTATTCCAGTCTCTGGAAGCAGGAACACGAGCGACCCGAAAGAGTATGTCCCCAGAGGAATCGGCGAAACCCAGATCGCCCGGTGGAACTCCGGGATGCTTCTTTGAGACAAAGAGGTCGACGGGAATCAAAGAAGCGGCTCCTTGGACAACGGGAGGTGAATCACTATCATCCATCTACAATTTTCATGCGAGAACCTCCAAGGGGAAAGAAGAGATGAGAAGACTGAGCAGTTGTTCAGAAAAGCAGCAGGGAAAGTGGACGGATGCATTTTCTGATGTGGACTTGATCAAGCAGAGTCAGCCGATGAAGAACTGAGCAGATTCCGCGTGACGAAGAAACCGAAGAGTTCACCTTTGGCGGTTGGCCGGGGCCGGCTAAAACCGGGAAGCCCATCTAATTCATACGATGGGCCAACCTTTAGTTTTTTAATCAAATGGGCCCGGGAGATGGGCCTCCCTCTTGAAAAGGTCCAAAAGCAGAGGAAACGTGAAGGTAAATGTTCCGTGAAATCGACATTTTGCGAGAAGGAAATGACCTCCGATCGCCGCCTTCATGCTTCCCAAGGCTCAAAGAATCAATTAACCATATAAATCTTCAACACAGAAACAACGGGAGCTTGCCGATTTTCCTTCCATAAGATTTTCCGTTCTCCGCTGCTGCTCCTCCTCTCCCGGCGGCAGGAGAAGAGAGTTCTGTTTTCCCAACGATAAGTATACTCCTCCCGTTTTTTCGACTCCGAGCAGAATGGGGAAGCAGAAGGGAGATGGCGGTAGGAGCAAGAATCGTCCGTCAAGCAGCAGGTTCGAAGTTTGGGAAACCTTTTCTTTTAGTGTAAATTAATGCCTTCTCTCCCTTAATTAGAGTTGAATGAGCTGAAATTGTGGATGCAAACGTTCCTCTTGTTGCAGTCTCGCAGCTTCTCTACTGCCGTCGGCTTCTTCTGCAGCAGCCGTGGGGTTTGGCGGCTATGTTGGGAGCGCTCGTCTTGATACTTCAATTTCAGGAGACGACTCCGCCCCCTTTCTGGTGAGCTCACAATACAACGTTGGCTCTGGAGTTGTGAGGAAGTTGTTGCAAGTATGATGGGGATCATGGAGGGTTTACCTGTGGGGTGTGAATTTTGCAGGACGTCGACAGTGAAGTTGCACAACACTTGAGGAGGCTAGCTAGGAAGGATCCTGTGACCAAGGTGTTAATCGTTTTAGCTTTCTGTATCTGATCGTTTTTGGGGTTTAATTTTCTTGAGGTTTCCACGACTCTAATCATGCGTTTATCAACACAGCTTAAAGCACTGCAAGCATTGGCTGCTCTCTTCAAGCAGAAGGCTGGAAAGGATATCGCGCTCATTATACCACAATGGGTACAGTTCTGGTGCCAACCTGAGTCTTTGATGAATTATAGATGTTCGGATGACTGCAAAACCGAACAATGGATTTCACCTTAAGCTGCCAGGATCTGCCACTTGCATTGTTAAAGCGAATATGCTGTGCCTTAAACATGTTTCCATGAGTAAATAATGTTAGCAAAATCATAGGTGATTTAGAACTAAAATCTGAGAGCCCGGATGCATTGGACGTTTTCATGCCTATTGCCACTAGCAAACCCCTTTGGTTTAACTTGAATTACATTGACTTACATTCTTCCTGGTGATGGAATAGTCGTTTTGCTCATACACTTGCATAGCTACTACAACTGAGAGCATAAAAGATGGTTAATTGTTTGGCTGTTTTGGAGTAATGCTGTGTCCTGCAGATAGTCAACTGCTTTGTTAATAATGAATTTCTCAGAGAAAAAATTTGCATCTTTCATGTAGTTTTTTCATTGTAGTCTTGGCCTTTGTCAGGTTGAGAACACGTCTTTTCTTTGGCCTTGAAATTTCCTACATTTTATGCTTGTCTAGTTCGTAAACTATGTGTCAATGATTCTTGTTTCCTGAATGATGCGTGCTTGGGTTTCCTTAAATTCACTCTGATTTTCTTCTCATTTTTCGTTCTGTTCTTCATTTAGGCCTTTGAATATAAGAGGCTGTTGATGGATTACAATAGAGAAGTTCGGCGGGCAACTCATGAAACCATGACCAATCTTGTTGTTGCTGTTGGGTAAAGACTTTTCTTTTAGAACGTAGGTTCCGATGTGCCTTCTGTTTTAAAAGCAAGTGCTTGGAGATGAGGTTTTTATTTCATGGAAAACTAAGTTGCCAGTTCCTTCTCTGTGCTAGCCTTGGTGTCCATTGTCATAGTTTTCATGCGATATATTATTTGTCCTCCTTGATTCTTTCTTTCTGAAAGGATCCTCTCTGATCCATTATAGACACCCTTGCTAAGATTTCTGACTTGATACCTGTTTATCTCAGTCGAGATTTAGCTCCTCATCTGAAGAGTTTGATGGGACCATGGTGGTTTTCTCAATTTGATCCAGTTTCTGAAGTTTCCCTGGCTGCAAAGCGATCTCTACAGGTAAATTCTAATGTTTATGCTACCTATGAACAGTCCACACTATAGGCCCCATCACTAAGCTATATGTTCTGCAAGATACTTGTTATGCCTATAGCTTCCGGGAAATAGTTTAATTTGACCTGATCTAGAGAAATGTAACTGATGTTAGATTTCTTTTATGATTATTCTGCGGTATTTAGAAGACTGCGTCTAATTTGGTACTTAATTGAGCTAAAATTTGATATCATGATTTATGTTGTCTGTGGATTGAGAACCAAGCTAGGTCGTATTACAGCATCGGTTGAAAATTCCGATCAAGGTTGCACCTTATTTTTGTTAGCCTAGCTTGTGGAGTAATATCGGTTTTGACGTGGAGCCATAGTGTAGGCACCATATAAATATAATTTCCTTTTGCTCAATTAGTTGTTTGTTGTTTCGAGCTGGACTGGAAAATGGCCAAAAAATAGTTAATGATTTTATGAAGTACTTTAAGACAATCTTTTGCAATAGGTATTGCCTGAGTAAGGCTTTTATTTTATGGGGGAGTGCAATCAAAAAAATTCAAGAAGTATATCATGGTTCTGCTTCAGTTCATTCAGTATTTAGCTGCTTACTTGTACTATCCTTATGTGTAATTAGGCTGCCTTTCCAGCACAAGAGAAAAGATTAGATGCATTCATTTTGTGCACGGTGGAGATATTCCAATATTTGGAAGAAAATTTGAAGTTAACACCGCAAAGTTTGTCAGATAAAGCTGTGGCTTTGGATGAATTGGAGGACATGTACCACCAGGTATACTCGATTTGCTGTTACCTAATGGTATTGGTCCACATGAGCCCAGGAAACTGATTATACTATGTTTGTGTAGGTTTTGAATAGCTCTCATTGATTGCAAAGACTTTTAATGCATTTATGGGGTTTATATGTCCTTATGACTGCGTTTAGTTCAGTGCATTAGAGAATGCGTGTTCTTTGTCCTAATCATATGCTATTAAGTGGACTGTCTTTGTTAAAACCTAGTTGTGTTCAATGCGTTTGTATGAAAAATTGTTCTAGAAGAGTCGAAAAAGACACGTGGGACTTAGTGTTTTCCTCAGATACCTCATAACCTCGTGTATTTTTTATGGCATCCCTTCGATGCATATGGAATTGGTTGTAATATTTCAGTTATGCTCAAATGCGTAAAAAAGTTTCACAAGAAACGGTCAATCTTACACTATTGCAAGTAACATAGCCAACCAAACGACATGTGTATGTTATAAAATTTTACCAGTCATTCATATAGTGAAGCCAACTGGTGAGCTTATATTCGGTAATTAGTGGTTCTGTAATGATTGATTCAGAAAAGGGACACAATTTCTCCTTAGCTGAATGTACATAATCTCACCATGGATGAAACCCTCTCTCTACTATTGCTGCTGGTGGATGAATTTTGAATTTGTGGACTTCTCATGCTGCTTCTGACATCTAATTTTGGGGGTGGAGGGCATTTTACCTGTTGCTTAGTGTCATGACTTATTTGAATGATTTCTTGGCTTCCAGGCAATTGCTTCCACATTGCTCGCATTGGCAACACTTATTGATGTTTTATTTAGCTTGCGATCTGAAACATCTGGCTTTGAGGATATAGTTGCTGAACCAAGAAATGCCTCAAAGGCTAGGGCAACTGCTATTTCCTTTGCTGAAAAGTTGTTCTCTGATCACAAATATTTTTTAGACTTTCTGAAGTCAGAAAACCCAGCAGTCAGGTCAGCTGCATATTCAACACTGAAGAGCTTCATTAAAAGCATTCCTCATGTTATCAATGACGAAAATATGAGAACTATAGCTGCTGCTGTACTTGGCGCATTCCAAGAGAAGGATCCAGCTTGTCATTCATCAATGTGGGACGCTGTATTATTGTTTTCGAAAAAATTCCCTGAAAGCTGGGCGATGATAAATGTTCAAAAGAATTTTTTGAGCCGGTTTTGGAATTTCTTAAGGCAACAATGTTTTGGATCTCAGCAAGTCTCTTATCCTGCATTGGTTCTATTTCTGGACACTGTGCCTTCTAATTTAGCAGGAGAGAGGTTCTTCCTTGATTTTTTCCGCAACCTATGGGATGGGAGGAATCCATTGCGTTCGACTGTAGCTGATCGTCTAGCATTTTTCAAGGCATTTAAGGAATGCTATCTTTTCGCTTTGCAGAATGCATCCAGGTGCAAGTTTGTCATCTGCATTTGTGCTTTATCCATTTGCTTGATTGTTCATCTACGGATCCAACTATTTGGTTCACTGTGTTGGAATTAAATCTATGCCCTAGCTAGTTCATGTGCTCATTTTATCTTCTAATTGTTACCAGGTATTGCAGTGGGGTTGATGCCATGCAGAGATTTAGAGTCACCCTTGTTGGAGATATCCTTGTAAAGCTTCTTTGGAGAGATTACCTATTTTCTGGAGGGTTCAATCATCAAGATGCAGGTTCTTCTGTTAAGAAGACAACACCATCAGTGAACCTGAAATATCCCTGGAGTTATTTGGAAGAATTGAGGAATTGTGTTATAGAAATTCTTTCTGAAAGCTACTTAACAGAATACGATGTGCTTTCTCCATATTCTGTGGCATTCCGGGAGGATTGTGTCGGCATGTTTCAGCAAACGGCAAATGCAGAAGAAAGAGCAGAACATGTTGAAAGAATTATTAAGTTTTTGTCATTACTGGAGCAGTTTTCTGTTAAGAAAGGTGAAGCTTGGCCCTTGGTTCAGTTGGTAGGACCAATGTTGGCAAACTCATTCCCGTTGATAAAATCTTCTGTGAGTTACCTCTGAAAACAATGTGTTTAGATTGGTTCGATTTGATTCTTGGATTTTTCTCTTTG